CGGATATTATCAGCAACAGCGTTTTATGGGAGAGGACAAACCAGCTTCCAGCTGAAGAGGAAATAAGGAAAAGACGTTGGAAGTGGATCGGACATACATTAAGGAAATCACCAATGTGCATCACGACTCAATCCCTAACTTGGAATCCGGAAGGGAAGCGGAAAAGAGGAAGGCCAAAGAACACACTACGCCGGGAAATAGAAGCCGATATGAAAAGGCTGAATAGCAACTGGAAAGAACTGGAAAGGTAGGCTCAGGACAGAGTTGGATGGAGAATGCTGGTGAGCGGCCTATGCTCCTCGACGAGGGGTAACAGGCGTAAAACGTCAAAAAATATATATATATTACTCAATTAAGAACTGTCGTCTTAATTTGAACAAAAAGTTTCACAGTATTTGAGCGCCAAGTTAATGTTAGACATTGTGAAAGAAAATGTAAACAGGTTTAGATACCATAAATTCGATGTTGATCATATTTCTGATGTCCTTTTATGGTCTGTTAACTGTAGAGTAATAAGATCACCAATTGGAACACTGATTTAGTTACCGGACCAATTATGCAGGAATCAGTACGAGCAGTCCAGATTCATCTGTGAGTTCTTATTGATCCAACGAGATAGTAGCCTCTAGCCTTACTCAGCAAGTTTAGTCCAGAACAGCAACATCAGCCTCCGTTATACTAATCATATATTTCAACCATACTGGGCACATATACAAACAAATCAGACCACATCATACCATAAAATGAAAAAATAACAACTGTACAGGTTCAAAACAAAAAGTGACCGTTATTTTGAGAGACTGTAGTTGGTGAACTGGGTAAAGCTTATGAATGGGTAATCGTATAATTGATACGTCTTGTAGATTGAAAGCTATATTCGGATCCTAAGCTAGTTTCGTAACCCCCAAGCTAGAACTGCGCAGCGACTTGAAGACGAGAGAAAAGACACAAAATATGTGGGAAGCACTTTACTCCAAGGTTCATTTATGTACAGAAAATATATAGGATTTTTGTAGTAATTTAAGAGTCCTTGGGTGTTACTGAAAACTCTAGAATACTGCTAAACATAGTAGCAGTGTACTAATCAGCCAGTCAGAATCTCTACATGTGACTTTTCATTTTCGTTATGTTACCAACAAAACATCTAATCAAACAATGATTGGATGAAATGCTCCTCAATGTTTCATGTGCTTGTCATGTCGATTGCGAGAAATTTTGCATGATCATCCCAACAATAATAATAGTCAATAGCTGAACTAAAAGCTCATTATAAAAGAAATATGAATAAGCATATAACGTAGTTCCCTAATAGTTATATGATAAAAACTTATTTCATAAAATACTGCAAACGGATCCTAACGGTAACGTTTAACTTATCCTTTGCCTGGATAGAACAATTCCCCTAGAAACGTTCGACCCAGATTATCGAGTGAACATTCAATCGTCATTATTTTACAGATATATTCTTTTTCATTAATGTATTACTCATGTTTCCATTGTATACAGATATTCCGTTTGCTCGACAGATATTCATCCATTTTTAAACTTATCAATATTATTTTGCTATGCTATTAAACTCCCAATAGTTTGACCCATCCTTGCATGGGAACACTTGAAATTAATACATGTTGTTGATATTTTTCATATTCGAGTGAAGAATAATCTGTGGGTAACTTCATACACCTATCAATGAACTCATATTATACATATATTCTTATTGTATAAATATCAAAAACCTGCATTATGTATATTTATTTTCCTCTTATTTTTGGCTTTGATTTGACCTACAGACAATAACCACACGATTCGCTTCAGTGCTTCAGCTGATATATTGTCGGGTACTGCCGCTTTCCCACTTTTGATTTGTCTGATGGCCATCTTGACTTCTTCGATCGTTGATGGAGTGACATCTATAGGAAAATCAGTATGTGCGGCTTCGATGTCAGGTGGATTAAATGGAGCTGGCCTATTCAGCAGTTCTTTGAAGTATTCTGCCCAACTTTTCCTCTGTTCTTGAATCTCTGTGGTTGTCTTTCCTTCTTTGTCCTTGACTTGTCTCCCTGGTTTACTGTATTTAACTGCCAATTTTTTCGTTGTATCATATGGTTGTTTCATATTCCTTTCTCTTGCACCTTTTTCCGCCGTCTTTGCTAGTACTCCCATGTATTTCTACTTGTCAGCTTTAATGCTTTTCTTTGCTCGCTCGTTTGCTTCTGCGTAGTCTGCTTGCGCCTTGACTTTCTCTGCTCGTGTTCGACTGCTGTTACTTGCTAGTTTCTTGTTCTTCCTTTCCTGAATCTTGTTAAGGGTTTCCATAGAAATCCATTCCTTATGATGGTGTTTCTTAGGACCAAGAACCTCCTGACACGTTAAAGTTGATGCTTCTTTAATCGCTCCCAGTTGTCTTCCAAAGTAGGTTCTTGTTCTTCCAGTAGATCCAGTAGAGCTTGGAACCTGTTGTTGAGAGTTATCTTGAATTCGAAGGAAGACTGTATTGAACCTTTGTAGTGCTGTTTGTCCAGTTGTCCAGTCTTTCTTTAGCTTCAGTCTCATCTTGGCCAAAACCAGGTGGTGATCTGAAGCTATGTCAGCTACTCTCTGGGTTCTCACATCTTTCATTGACCTTCGGAATTTTTGTTGATGCATATGTGATCAATCTGGTTCTCTGTGGTGTGGTCGGGCAAGATCCATGTAGCTTTGTGTATGCGCTTGTGTGGGAATATTGTGCCGCCTATTACCAATTTGTTGAATGCACATAGGTTTGCAAGTCTCTCCCCATTTTCATTTCACTCTCCTAGTCCATGTCATCTCATGATATCTTCATATCTTGTGTTGTCCACTCCAACTTTAGCATTCAGATCTCCCATCAGGATGGTGAGGTCCTTTCGTGAGTACTTCATTATAATTGATTGCAGCCTTTCATAGAACTGATCTTTATAATCGTTGTTGCTATCATTAGTGGGTGCATAACATTGGATAACATTCCTTGTGATTCCTTCCTTCTTTGTTCTGAATGTTGCTTTTATTATCCTGAAACCATTAGATTCCTATCCTACAAGCGCATTTCCAGCTTCTCTGGACAGTATTAGAGCAACTCTCTGAGTGTGTATATCACTCTTCCTTCGTGACCGGAATACAGTGGAATCTCTCCTGTACTTAGCCTTTGTTGTCCAGTCTGTGCCTAATGAGTTACGCTGATTACGAGTACTGTCAAGTTGTATCTCCTCATTTCCATTGCTATTTGACTGGTCTTCCTTGTCTCTCACATTGTCCGGACGTTCCATTTACCCATAAATAGTGTTGCTCTGGTTGTTAGAATGTGCATCGGCCTCGTGACTTTTGAAAAATGTCGGCTTTCATCATGAGGCGTCATAATTAATCCTTCAACTCCCAGGGCAGAGTTTAAAAGGTTTAAATTATTTTTTCTGGTCAGTGTTTTTTAGCGAGTTAGTTTTACTAAGGGATGAGGTAGCCAACCCCATGGCCAACTCTATTAAATTACCCGGGCTTAAGACAGGCAGTAACTCTAGAAGAGCTACAGGTGGAGTTTCAATTTGTATCACGTAACCCTAGTGTGTCAGTATGCGAAATATTATCCAGCGAATAATGAATATATATTTTTTGTTTTAACCTTGCAATAAGGAAATTGTATTTTTCAAGTTTCGTAGCCTAATATAAGATAACCCATCAGAGAAAATGAAACACAGTCATGTATCCGAATTCTCTCACGCCCTTTCTGATTTTTAAAAAAAATAAAGTTCTCTTGTCGTCGCTCAGTATTTTCAACAATGTTCCTTTCTAAGAGTGATCAATCAAATCAATAGTTAATTCAGGTAGTTACGTTAAAAATCATGAACTTATCAGGGTTAAAACGCCACTGAAATTGGTACTAAACAGAACTGGCTGCTAAGCATTCACGCGATACTGAACGTCCTGGAGTCCAGTCTCGCGTGCAAGATCGTAAATGCGCAAACCAAAGAAATCTTTTTATAGGACGAAACGGCTATCGAATGGTTTTAGGTTCTCACTGGAAATCGAACAGTGATTGTTTTATGATTTTGGGGAAATTCAACAATTTCATCAGCTTCACACTGACAATAAGGATTCAATCAACATCTTTTGTGTTTCTCATTCACTTGGAGCATCAGAATCTCTTAAATCAACATCTGCCTGTAATCTGGATACCTCAAGTGGGTGAAGCATCCATGACTTGTCGGTTGTTGTTTTATATACTGTTTGATTCTGTGTTTTCTGTTTCGCTGAAAAAATATAAATATAGATTTAATCAACCTAGATTTATGTTATTTGGACGAATTTATGTTTTATTACTGATGAGACTCGCTCACAATATCGCTAGCGGGCCCTCCCTGTTTCGCGATTTCCACATCAACCAGTGAAGATCTTTTCATTTTTTATTAATAACGACAGTAAAAAGGAATTTTGCAACTATAACCTCAATGACGTCAACAGTAATATTCGCATTAGGAGTTTTCATATAAATCTTTTGGCTCCCCATGAAGAGTAGAATAGCATTGGTGTTTTTATTTGACAAATAATAACAAGGAGCTGAAATATCGATTCTACAACTCAAATCAGAAATGTAACGATCAATAATGTCCTCACTGTTCAACTATCTCTTTGAATTATTCTGCGTTGCTTGTTACTTTTGTGGAAAATTCCCTCCCTGCGGTTAATACGTATCAGAGACAATGTCTTATGTCCAGTTTTATTGAATAATTCAGCGTTTGCAAACAAAATCATCGAACGACATTTGTATTCCTAATCCACCTATAGGATCAAAGTTTCTCAATCTATCATCATCAGTCAATGTTACTAATAATTAACAGTCTCTGTAACTCTTTTCGTATAAACAGACAACAATGAAGAAATTAATTAAAAAGTGATGAAACTATTCACTGATTCTACTTGAGAATAAAAACAAAAGTCGATCGATTTCAACGTTATCTCATGATTTACATGAACTGATAACTATCAAAAAGGAACAAAATCGAAGATGAGTATAATTATTTACAATGGTTTGTGTACAGGAAGACATTTTGTTAAAGGTAAGTGAGAAACACTAAATTGATTTATTTTTTAATTGTAAAGTATATACATATACAAATGCAGATAAATATCATAAGGTAGGTCATTCCAATTAATCTGAACAAAGAAAGAAAGATATAAAGGGAGAAATGTCATAAGTAAGTTCAGCAAATTATCATTCGCAATGGTAATGGTTCAATCCAAACTTATTAGTGGAGTGATATCTAACGTGTTACTATGAAAATTTTGTGAAGCAAAAATATAGAAATTAAAACCATGGTCTTTACCGCCCCCCAACAAATCTGTCGAAAACTTAAACGCTCTCTAGGTAACCTAAAGGTTATGGATTTGATGCTCATCAGTATATTACATTTGCACTGCCATTGAGATGTCAACTCAGTACAACATTTCTTTCGTCAACACTACGAGATGCATTTGTTTTCATGACAAAACAATAAGTAATTTATCAGAGTGGTAATTAACGAAGAGTTGGAAAATTGCTTAAATCAAAATATCCAAAGTTACATTTCCTGATGAAGAAAACAACAGTATCTTGAAATGATGTCTTTGAAACATATAAGGAATTCAATTCCTTATTAATCGTAATTGATGAAATAATTAGATTGAAACACAGTAGTTATTTTATATGCCTGTTCATTGATCCACGTATTAAATTATATGTATCTTCATGCCTGCTACAATGACTTAACAACCAACACAGAAAATTTATCATACTAAATCATATTCATATCTCGATTGTTTTGATGATAAGATGTGTTCACAAGAATACATCTTTACCTACATCGATTCACAACAACAAATTATCTGCAGATGAATGAGTTATTAATATAGGATAATTTGTCCTATCCTCAAAATTTGGATAGTGATGAGAAAAATGCGACGCTTAACTGATTAGGAAGGTCCAGTGAATATGATTCATACTCATTATTATTACTCGTTATTTGTGAAAATTATATCTCAGATAATCTCGTCGATCAGAATTTAAATAATTCTAACGTTTCATCCGGTGAAATTATCTTCATACATAATGTCTTCTTTATACTGGACGTACAATTTCTATCACATAGTCGGCTCAAACATTGATGAATATTTTGATGTGGGTTTGTTCTCTGAGCTGGATGGTTTGGTCGTGAAGCATTCATAGTCCTTCTGAACGACATCATCAGCAAAAACTTCTGGTAGAAGTGAAGTGTTTGAATTTCTTCACATGTGATGAAATCAACCCACTTTATCAACCAATTAAGAAAATTATGCAGAAACATAGGAGCAAAAATCAAGCCAATAGAAGATATAACCAAAACAGAAAAATAAACAATCGCAGATTTAAAGTCAATAAAAACTAATCAACATCGAGGTGCACAAAACAAGCTGTGACTCACATGTGGAGAAATTCAAACACTTCACTTCTACCAGAAGTTTGTGCTGATGATGTCGTTCAGAAGGACGATGAAAGCTCCACGACCGAACCATCCAACTCAAAGAACAAACCCACATCAAAATCACCGACCTGAGCTACAAATCTTCTCCATCATTGATGAATATTCGTATAAATAAGTTACTCAACGTCTTAAGTAATCCATAGAAAACGTATGAATTAAACAATTACACTAAATTCACATTTCTATCTTTATAAACTTACACTATTTTCAAGGTGAATTGAGAACCTGAAAGGAAGAAAAGAAGGAATAAGATGATATATTCAAAATATAATATCCAGAACATTTCTCATGACTTACTATACCTGATAAATAAAAGCAGTTAGTTTAACAACAATGTGTGATCAGTTTCAGTATAATTGAGGTTCAAGGATTCCTGTCAACTACCATCTAACATCACAACATTATGAACGTGGTATCAGGTACTCTGAATGTGTGATTTAATTAAGAATTGATTGAGTGAATAAGATCAGTACAAAAATGACATGTGGTTGTATATATTATAATATCGGCTACAAATAACTAATCCATTTGAGTTTGCATCGACTTGTCGATCAAACGATAAGATACAAAGAGAAAAGATTGAATTTGGATGTCGGTAGAATCCAGAGAGCAAACGTTATCCTATTTACTACCTAATGAATAGATCAATCTGCATCCCAGTTTCATTCACGTAATGGGCATCACACAAGTGAGTGAAAGTATCGTTTTCATAGATGAGTAAATATTGCGTCGGTGATTGAATTGAAGACTACTGGTTCCAATCTCCGGGTTCACGACGATGCTGTAACGAAGGAACAGTCAATCAACATGTCCCAAATAGAATGAAACGTACATCCGCGATGCCTCTGCCGATCACATGTAATCTCCTCTTTTTGAAACACGGTATCATCACTTTACTTGAAGAATAACAGCAAATTAAGGATCCATAGAGTTTTTCTAATTTCATCAGTTATTTTATTTTTTTTCCACAAAATTACGTTTGACGTTACCACATATAAATAGGTACATCATTTGTTAAACCTTAAAATCTTTTCAAACCAATTTATTTTTTACATCTGGTTATTCAGTTGTCGTCTCCTTAGAATTCTTTCCAGTGGTTCATTTAAACCTGATAAATTCAAAGTTGGTCTTTTAGGTCGACTTCTTGTTCCCAGTCATTTACATTCACTTCAAACGGCGGAAACAGTTTTCCTAACTAATTAGGTCCCAATCGGTGAATTTTTCACAGAAAAATTACCTCTAAAATCCGTTGTAGAGTATGAACAATGTACAGTATGGCAGATATTTTACCAGCATTTGTGACACTTACCACAATGTTCAAATATTAAGTTGTTTTATTCTATAATGACGTAGCTATGACGTCCTCTATGATGCTATTATCTATACTAGTTATCTAATAAAATGTAGTGCAACTGATAGTAAAGAAGACTATTCTTTGTTCAGTTATGTCGAACTTGAAGTATTTTAACCCAAGTGTATGCAGTATCACTCTATGCCTTGTACCATAGTAGTTTTATGGAGTCAATCCATACGGTTTGAATATATCTAAAGTAAAACTGTTCAGGGTCCACTCACAATAACAACAGCAGAATAATCCAAATCATTACAAATTAAACTGTGATTCATATGTATTTTTAACTAAACAAGTAAATAGCTAACCTGCTGTATTCAAAAAACTGGTATTTAATCTTCCTTCTGAGTAGATAAGTAAACAAAGGGAGATGAGTAATAACTTGAATTCTTTACTGAATGAACACTTGATTTATAACAAGATAGTCCAAATATTTCACTTAAAGTGTTCAGTTAATTAGAAAATAATTCACAATCAACGAAGGGAGCATATATTGTGTCACTTATTTATTACTTTTTATGTTCTTGATTGTCATCACACGTCGTCGAACTCGACGGTCACAAGTTAAGCATTCTTAATTAACGACAGTCTGTTGTTTTCACAATAATCACTGGTGAAATATGGAAATAAATTTCCATGTACTGAATTGCTAGTTCACAATATGTATAAGAAAAATTGTGAATCTCAGTTGAATCGCATGGATTGATTGTTCTGACAGACTGAAACTGACTGCAGAACTACAAAAAAATAATGAAGCGTTTAACAATCAGTTGTTGTCAACCCCTTTATCATGATTATATTATCTAGTTTATAGAAATGACTATATATTTCTTCAGAATAACAGTAGTTATTAACTTCTGGTAAATAATCACCTTGCAGTGACCTGCTTTTTCGACAAGAACGCGATTGGTATAATAGAAACAATTATTATTATAACCAATTCTACCAGCGATTGTTTTACTGTATTTGTTTAAATGTATCAAAGTCACTGCTCGTTCTGCTATCCGCCTTGTTTGGTTCGAACTTTCCTGCGCTCTACCCTTATTGCCTGTACTCGTTGGCACGTTTCGTTATTCTTTCGCTTCCACGAGATCGCCAATTAATATACTCTATCTGAACCAGTTACAGTCTTCCGGTTTGCGAGTTATCAAAGGGACCAAGTCGTTTTTGGGCGCGTAATCATAGTGATCATAGTCCATCAAGACTCGACGCCATCTAGATCTGGTGAACCATAACCTCTCTGATCATTATCAAATTATTATGATATTTTTATACTCTGTTCAAATTAGTTCTATCTGACAGCTCAGTTGATTACAGTAAGGAAGATCATCATTATGACTGTAATATTGAGAAGATTATGATTAGTAAATTTACCTTTGTCACGTTTCCTCATAATTTTTTCATTTAATGTCCGATCTGTAAAACCAAATTAATGATAGAGATAAAAAGACTTTCTAAACTACCTACAATGGATTAATCACAGAGTATTGATCTATATTATAACCTATAATGACTAAAACTTTTATCTAATACTACTGATTACTTTTTGATTCAGCTTAGTCGAACTCATCATTCGGCATTACTGACGATGGAATGAAATTGGTTTGAATAAAGAGTCAGCGTTTCATCCCATTTTTGTACTTAACGGTCAAATGCACTACAATTCAGGTCCTGACTGAGACTTGTACATCATACATACTGATTCAAACGAGAATAAATTATCTAGGAAGCTGAATCACTTTAAAGATACGAATTTTTCAGTGAAGCTTCATTGTCTTGATTGTGAACAATCAGCATTGATATTTATTCATTATAGATCAGAGAATTTAGTATTTTCATAGTTTAAATCATGAGTCAATTAAAGTTAGACCACCATGGAAAACCTGGAAGCACTGCTTGACGGCCGTTTCGTCCTATTATGGGACTCCTCAGCAGTGCGCATCCACGATCCCACACTCGCCGGATTCGAACCCAGGACCTACCAGTCTCGCGCCAGAGCACTTAACCGATAAACCACTGATACGGCATACAACGGTGTTAATGTCTAACTTCTATTAATCCGCGAAGCTCAGCAACCGTTCACCAATCGTCTTCAGTTAGTTGATATCTCTACAACAGACTTGGTTGAACTCCACTGGTCACTGCAAACAGTTGTATGCATTTCATTGAAAAATCTAAACTACTGTACTCTTTCAACTGAAGCCTTTTAGTTAACTAGTCTCCTGGAATATGAAAAATTTTCCATGTGATCAGTTCACAACGATCACGTATTATTCCATCACATTAATTTTGAAAAGAAAAAGAAAAGAGTGTTTAGAGTTAACTAGAATTCATGCATCCATCAGATGAGTTAAGTACAGCTGTAAAAGACTGTTTCTCCCTACTATGAGCCTCGTCAGTAGTGTGCATCCACTATCTCTTAAGCAGGGATTGAAAAATGAGCTTCAATCTCGTACTCAAATGCTTATCACTAGACTACTAAATCGGCAATAAACAGCAACAATGTCCAACATTACTCGATTCATGATCCGAATCAACCCTTTATACAGTGGATAACATGGATAACCTCAAACAATCAAACAAAGTTTACTATTCTTAATACCTGTTACGTCAGCTTTGTTTTCGTATTTCTGTATAAATAACAAGAAAAGCATATACACACTTTGCATAATATGACATTAACAAAATCAATCTATTGTAGATACCAAACCATTTTGCATTATTATTAAACAATAAAAACCAGTTGTTAGAAATGTCACAAATCATTGTACCCTGTTCAGATTATAAAAATAAGTGTCAATCCTGAAAATATTTTAAATAGTTCCATTTATTTCACTTGGTGTTGTTTAATTATATCCTATCATTGTTATTAATGACTGCAATTGATCGATCTCATGTTTACGTATGTGCATCCTGTGAAGACTGCCTGAATATTTCTTTAAAAAGTAAAGGTGAACAGTAACTGGTATTAATATCCAAGATGCACGTTTCATCCTATTTTTGGACTCGTCCGCCGGATCTACTTGGGACTCAAACTCATTTATTTGTGACATTTTAATAAACAAACAATGATATTTCATAAAAGTAATTATTAATAACTCACAACTATCCAATGTGCATCAATGTTTTAACATGTAATGGAAAAAAAAATGAACGGAAAATTAGATATAATAATAAATTGTTTGTTCGCATTTGAACACGTTCACTTTAGTATGATCTCTTTTATTATACGGTATATTTTTCAAGTTTCATTAAATACAATTTTATTGGAAGAATCTTGTCTTCTATGTTACAAATATAGTGAATAAGGTGACATAATGTTGAATACTTTATTATCAATTGTGACAAATATTCATTTTACCAGAAGGAGTTTTTGTGGATATTTCAGTATTTTCATAGTTGAAAGCGTGAGTCCATTGAAGCTAGACCACTATGAAAAACATGGGAGCACTGGACGACTGTTTCGTCCTATTATGGGACTCCTCAGCAGTGTGCATTCACGATCTCGCCTCGCAAGATTTGAACACAGGACCTACCAGTCTCGTGTGGATTGATTAGAGTTAGACATTAACACCATCGGATGCCGGCTCAGTGGTCTATCGGTTAACTGCTTTGGAACGAGAATAGTAGGTACTGGTTTCGAATCTCGTGAAGCGAGGTCATGGATGGGCATTGCTGAGGAGTCTCACAATAGGACGAAACGGACGTCCGATTCTTCCAGGTTTTCCCTGGTGGTCTAGCTTCAATTGACTCACGCCCTGAACTATGAAAACATTCATTTGTTCAATCGTGTTGATCAATTTATCAAGTCAAAAACTGTGTTCAACGTGATGTCAACAAATAATTGTACTGTTTTCAGATATACTGTTTATATATGTTTAACAGAATATCTTATATCACTGTCAATATAACTAACTCATACTACATCCATACATATATGCCCCACATGGAAAAGCATAGGTGACCCACCAGCATTCTTCATCCAACCCTGTCCTGATTATTTCTATCCAGTTGCGATTCATCCTTTTCATATCCGGTTCCATTTTCCAACTTAGTGTGTTCTTCAACATCTTCCTTTTTCGTTGCCTTTCACGATTGTATGTTAGTGCTTGCCTCGTTATACAGTTTCGTGATTTCTGTGATGTATGTCCTATCCACTTCAAGAGTCATTTTCTAATTTCTTCTTCAATTGGAAGCTGATTTGTTCTCTCCCACAGTAGGTTGTAGCTGATGGTACCCTACCAATGGACATTGAGTATCTTGCGTAGAAAACTGTTGAAAAATACTTATACATTTTTGATAATGGTTTTAGTAGTTCTCCAAGTTTCAGATACGTACAGTACGACTGTTTATACATTTGTATTGATGATTCTGACTTTCATATTTGTTGACAGCTGTTTTGTGTCCGATATGTTCTTCAGTTGTAGAAACGCGGTCCTTGTTTCGCCATGCCTCTCCTTCACGCCTGCATAGGATCGTCCACGTTCATCGATGAGATGGAATAACCAGGTTATCCTCGAAGTCAAAATCTTCTAATTGATTCTCCGCTGTCCATTGTATCCCGCGTGTCCCAGATATCAGGGTCATCATAATTCAGTCGACCGTCAAGAGTACGAGGAAGGAAGAGGGCAGGCAGCCTTATTTGACTTTGGTCCGCACTTCGAATGCGTCTGTCAGCCGTCCTTCATGCACGACTTCTCACTGTAGTTCGTCGTATGAATTCCGTATGTTGACGATTTTCCCAGCTACATCATAGTTTTGAAGAAATTAACATGATGTTTTACAATCCACACCGGTAAATGCTTCCACATTATCAAGCAAGTTGATGTTTAGTAAAAAGTTCCATTCAACTTATTGTTCAAAGATGATCCTTATTGTCGTGATTTTGTCTGTGCATGACCGATCCCTACGGAACCAATCCTGTTGATCTCGGAGCTGGGCATCCACCGAGTCTTTCATCGGAAAACTTTTCCTGGTACTGACAGTAGTGTGATGCCTCTGTAGTTCTTACATTCTCTCAAATCACCATCCTTTGGTGTCCTGACGAGGTATCCGTAGCAAGAAGGGTAAAAGACCATTATCTAATGAAATTAGAGTTGAGTTCCGTTTTTCTCGTCCAGTGGTTAGTAAGTGGCACCTCTTACATGAACAAGTGGTATCAGCCTCATCATTGAAAGCTTTCAAGGGGAAGCTAGATCTTTACTGCAAAATAAACTGTAAGGATCCCCACGGTTCCACAAACCGATTATCCTTATTACTGAAAACTTTACAGGCTACTAACTAATAATTACATAATGATGTTATAATTTATATTATGAATTTACTTTAGTCTATCGGTTAAGTCCTCTGGCGCAAAACTGGTAGGTCCTGAGTTCGAATCCCCCAAGTGCAGGATCGTGGATGCACACTGCTGAAGAGTCCCATAATAGGACGAAAAGGCTGTCAAGCAGTGCTTCCAAGTTTTCCCTAGGTGGTCTAACTTCAATTGAATCACGCTTTTAACTTTAGTTAGACAATTAATAAAAATTAGATATTAAGAAATCATAATTATAATACTTACCTAATTCAAATAAGCCAAACCTATTTTCATGATAACTTGTAATAATAATCTCTTCTTGTTTTTGTAACGCTTCATCAATATGAAAGTTTGTTTCATCAACATTGACAATATGCATTCGATGAAATCCTGTTGAATCTTTTTTGAAAATTATTATTAAATCATCTGGATTGCAATAATTTTCGTTTATTTGCCATGTTATATATGTGTGCTCTTTATTGATTGTCCTTATTTTTGTATTTTGCACTCTGAAAGCTGACACAATGAACAGATGTTTACATCATATTCTTATAAATATAAATAATGAATAGCATAAAATTATTTTTGTTAAATAAGTCCTTAAAATTGCGAAACATTGAACAACTGTTTTATCCTGTTTTATCTAATATAGTGCACGCAGTGTCAAACCACCTAGACTAGTGGCCATATTGCAACTTGATCGATAGCATTTGATCAACACTAAAAAGAACTTGTTATGCATGACACTGATCACTATCCAGTGATCAATCAATTGTGATTACATATCAGTTCTACAGGAGATTGGTCACGGCCCGAATAGCTCAGTGGTAACTTCTCTGACTGTGAAACTGAGTGACTAGGGATCGAATCCATCAGGAAGCATCAATTCCCTCAAGATTACAGGTAAACCTTGCTGAAGAGTGCCAAGTAGCACAAAACCTGGGTCAAGGGTTTCCTGTTGATCACCTTCAACCACCATCTTATCTTAATATGAAAATACTTAGTGAGAATGCCCATCGACGATTCTACAACTGAAGAGTATCCCAATATAAATAAGTACGATTAGCCATAATATATTATTAACCTAGTATATGTATTGTTCATTTCAAAATAATATTTCCAGATATCTGAAATCGACAAAAATCATAATAACGATAATTGCTATATGCGCATAGGGTCGATAGCGTGCAAATATAAGTTTTATGATTCCCGTGGGCCTCATCAATAGTGGTTATTTCCTTATGAGCTTTAGTTCGTATCACTTATTACTATGTTTTGCATTCACAGTATGGTCCTACATGTGTTGCTGCACGGTCAGAAATCTCATTTGTAGTAGTAAATACGCTTCCATCCATGGTAGTATAACGAAAAAGAATAAATCTGCTTTCTACTTTCATCTTTCATACTGAGAAGAAACTCGAAGAATAAGAAAGGGTGGGATTTTGATTGTTGTAAATTAGTCGTTCACATTTGGTAACTACGTCTCCGGTCCTACTGGAAATATAATCAGACTCATCAACAATCAAACTAAAGAGCATAAAAATGATCAGTTAACATGAGCCCTACATTACAAACTCGAATATCTGTCTCTCCTTTGACCTTTGTATTAATAAATCAGTGAAATATATAAGTACATTAAAATTACTATAATCTATAAATGGTTTTTATCAGTCAGATTCAGGACGCACACATCATTCTATTTAAGACTTGTCAACTGTGTGTACCTGCGTCTCAGAGTTGCTATTCAGTCCATGACTTGAACCCGGTATCATTTGCTTCAAACGCTAACACGTTATCCACTTAGCTACTGAGTCCTGAGATGCACAATCAATGAATAAGGGGGATCTGATGCAGACGTATAGGCGAGGAATGGCGAAACAAGGACTACGTTTCTACAACTGAACAACATATGGGACATAATTATTATTTATTATTATTTATTTAAACACATAAATATTAATACGAGGAAGCACCAGATAAATATGCGCCGCACAAATCTTATTTGATTTTTGTGAGGGTTGAGATAGTGCCAAGGTTCCCAAACTGAAGCAGACGGTTTTCTTAGGGGACCACACACGGAGCCTTTGACCTAAAGGTCTGATCCATAAGGCAGTGGAGCAACATAAGGAGATGCAGTCACATAGTAGCCGGTGACCAACGATTGATTCATACACCATTTGTTCCTTCAGGATACTGGAGTCCATGTGCACCATTGATTTGTAATCAGGGTTTTCCAACTCCCCAAGATGAATCATCAATGTTCACCAACCTGCTTAAAGCACCAGACATTCACTTTTCGTCCTCTCAATTTCGTAAACAACACCCGTGATGCAAGAAGGCAGTAAGTATGACTTCCTTGATATAGTCTATATACACTAGTCTATGTGAGAGCATTTCGATAGGGAGAGCGTACTCTCCTCACTCTCGTCTGTACCAGGTCATATTAGGTTTATGAGACATAAAACAACTGTCAATAAAATATCAAAGTCAAAATCTTCAATACAAATACTTGAACAATCAATATTATACTTACTTCGTTTATAATTTATCTTCCTTTTTGAAAGAGTATTATCAAATAAATATGCTTTTAAAATATGATTTGTAATTGTATATTCTTCATTGATACATGCTAAACCAATTGTTGGAAATTTTGCATACGTTTCTTCAGTTGTTAATTGTCGTGTTACACGATTTTCATTTAGATTAAGTTTCAAAGAGTCACTTTTTTGTTTATCAAATGGTGTCCATTGAAAATATAAATAATTTTCACTTTCTTGTACTAACAAAAATGTTGGTGATGATTTTGAACTTTCTATGGTTGAGATACAAAAAAAATAATAAACAAACAATAATAATAATAAATATAGTAATTGACTGTAAGGAATGTTTCCTTGAGTTCTAGTGAGAAGCAATGATCAGTGAATTTCAACCAAGTCTGTTGTAGAGATATCAACTCACTGAAAACAATTGGTGAATGATTGCTCAAACATTGTGGATTGGTTAAAGTTAGACATTAACACCGTTGGATGCTGACAGACTCAGTGGTCTATCGTTTAAGTATTTTGGCGTGAGACTGGTGGGTCCTGAGTTCGTATCTCACAAGGCAGCAAAGTGAATGCGTACTGCTGTAGAGTCCCATAATACGACGAAACGGCCGTCAAGCAGTGCTTCCAGATTTTTCATTGTGCTCTAACTTCAATTGACTCATGATTTCAACTAGCAAAATATTAAATTCTCCACAAAACCCTTTCTGATAAATAATTATAAATTTTTCAGAACCAGAAAGTAATATCCGAATAAGGATTTGTGAAGATTTTAGTATTTCAAATAATTGAATGCGAAATTTGATCTAATTTATACCATCATTGAAAAGTTGGACGTACTAGACAGTCATTTCGTCCTAGTATGGAACTCTACAGAAGTGCACATCTTTACAAATCTCCATTCTGATGAACATCATATACGTACTAGTGACTAGTTTCAAGATGGCCTTTTTTTGAAGTTCTAGTGATCAGTCCTGACCAATGAAATCTAATGCAGGTTGTGTGTGAGATAGTTATCCACCTCAGACAATGACTGAAAGATTGCGCTAGATCATTGATCGATTGAAATTAGACATTAACCCCCTTTCGATGCTGATTCATTTATCTGATTGTTAAGTGTTCGTGTAAGAGACCGAAGTTCCTACGTTCAATTCTCGGTGTGCAGGATCATAGGTGTACACTGATGAGAAGTTTCATAATACGACGAAATGTATATTAAGTATATATATATCATTTTAAATATACAATCAATAAGTTAACTTGAATTTATTGAATTGTACTTAATCAATATTAGCTAATCAATGATTCAATTTTTTTAAATTGGTAGAATAAGTTGTTTTGCTGAAAAAGGATACTAAGATTTAATAGTTGAATTCATTAGCCGATTAAAACTAGACAATCATGGAAAACCTGAAATTATTGAACGGTCGTTTCGTCTTTGTATGGGACAACTCAGCAGCGAACAAATACGATCCTGCACAAGGAATTCGATTTCAGAACCTACGGTCTCATGCGTGAACGCTTAACCTCTAGACCATTCAGTAGGTATCCAACAGAGGTAATGTATAACTTCAACTATCCCACGAAATTGTGCTACTGTTCATCATTATCTCCAGTGAGTTACTATCTTACAACAGACGCGGTTGAACTTCACTAGTCACAGCTTCTCATTAGAATTCCAGGAAATACTTCTTGAAACCAGTTACCAGTGAGCATATGATGGCAATCGTTAGAATGTGAGTTCTATGAAGATCGCATTAATTAAATGGTTGAATTTATGAGTCGATTAAAGTTGGGTACTAAATTACTGAGTTATGTGTTTTGCTTCATCCTAATGATATAAGACTCTATTTGTTTTTCATTTCTGAATAAGTGATCGACATATTTTCAAATCAAACAATCGATAATATATAAACAAAATATGATGATAAATATAAATATTTTTTGCGATATCATAGTGATTATAAAAGTTGTAGTTCTGATGTTTCATAAATTAATCTACGACACTTCTTCAGAGTTTTTACTTATCATTATAATGTTCTACTGTCTTTTGTTTACATTTCTAGGATCTTAAAGGCTACCTCGAGGCAGTCTACATAAAACGCACATATGCCAATTGCAGTCCAAAATAATAATGGGAAGATACATGTAAACAACAACAAGTGAACATGACTTCACCCCCATTGCACAAGCAGGTGGCTATCACGACTCAGTAGCTAAGTGGACGACTCGATGACGTTTAAAACGAACGGTATTGGGTTCGAGTCTCAGAATGAACATCAACTCTTAGTTCCAAATAGGACGAAATGCGTGTTCTACAATTCACTACAACCACTATCCATCTTTGTTTATAAATACATTTTTGTTTTTATTTTCAATAATTGACTTACCTGAATCAAGATTATCTGCCAAGTTTACTTTGACAATACATTCAACAATGATCTGTGGTATAACTAAAAATATTAAAAGAATTAAACTGAAATTAGGTACAATTGAAAATAGAACTAAAAATCAATTGTAATTTTGACAATAACAACATTTGTTCTTGGTTCAAATCTCGCTAGGCTGGATCGTGGATGCTAACTACTGAGGAATCTCACAATAGGACGAAACGGACGTCCAGTGCTTTCAGGTTTTTCATGGTGGTCTAGTTTCAATTGACTCATTCTTTCAACTATTAAAATTACTATAGTATCCAAAGAAAACTATTACAATTTCAATTAGATATCTTTCAATCCTATGCAGAAAATTAAACTCAGCCATGTACATTTAAAACATTCTATACTAGAATGTTATTTAAACTAATACAATTTAACTAGTTGATCTTAAAAGAATTAAACAAACTATAAACCATTGATTATTCAATATTTGATAAATTCGATTTCATAATGGTTAACTTTTGTTTTCCTAGTTAAAGAGAATGGTAAATGGTTATAATGAAACTGAAGATAGAATTGTTCCCATTAGATTGATTGTTCTATTGGTTGTTAGAATGTACCCGTTGATGTTTAAGAATTTAATGAATCGATTTCTTATTGAATAATGTGAACCCTGTAAGGATTAACTTGTCGTTGTTTTAAAACATAAGCATTATAAGCAGAGATAGAAGATGGCTAGTAATGGAATCTAAGATATACGTTTCATCCTATTTAGGAATCGTTAGTCGGATGTATCATCATTATTTTCAGAGTATAGTTTAGTGAACTTCACAAGTTAGGCTCATTCAAAAATATCCATGTATTAATTTATTCCAAATAACATAACATGTTTTGATGTGTTAAAATCATATGAGAATAGTGGAAACATCTGAATCTAAGTATCTCATTAGTGGTATTGTAGTGTAGGCTACTTATATCCAAATCTAATCAGAGATATCGTGCTTGCTGGCTTTATGCTGCGAAATGAATATACATTATTCAGATGTCCATTGACTGGGCTGCTAACTTCTAACTGGCGATCACTCAATATTTATCGTCAAGAAGAACGAAGAAGTAAGAAACGGAAACTTGCTGAAGTACTTTGTGCTGAGAATTCTATATTGTACCAAAAAATCTAATATTGAATAAAGCTAATAATAATAATAACATAAGTAGTATATGATGATAGTCAGACATAGAATGAATTTTGGCAGTAGATCGATAAGAAAAGAACTGAAATAAAGCGTAATCGGTATGAAAATGTATGAACAATGAAATCAGAGAAGATGGGCTGTTGGTTATTAGATGTAAGTGAGATAGTTTGTAATTTGTGCTCAACTACATTCGATTGTCCCTATCCATGTTCTTGTTCACTACAGTATGATTGATTTCATTATCTAATTATGATGTATTATATATGTGTTACATTTCTTGAGCTTACTGTAAAGTACTGAATACTTAAGTTAATTAATAATAACTACTGTGATTGCTGGATTAGTTTATCTCATGTCCTTTAAAAACCGGAACATTCAAAATTCTTAATACGGTCAGAAGGAATATTTAATTTTTTCAAATTATGTTAGAATAATTTAGTCTATTAGGACATGTACCTTCGTCTTTGGACTAAAGTGTTACAATCGAGCTGGTTACAAAGAATGAATACTTTCATTCAATTCGCTCCCTATCACTTGACCACTGAGCCAGAATCTGACTGGAGTATTGTCTAGCTAAAACCAACCTACGATCTTGTGCTACCGTCTACCATTATCTTCAGTAAGTAAATGCTTCACAGCAGACACGAACGAACACCACCGGTCACGTATACTCACTAGAACTGTAGGAAACACATCTTGAAGTCAGTCACTAGTTCGCATATGATGATTATTTTTATAATGAAGGGTTTGTGAAAATTCTTGTAATTTATTGATTGAATCCATGAATCGATTCCAGGTTTTCAATGGTGATCTACCTTAAATCGATTGATGAATTCAGACATGAAATTACTACCCTTTCCACAAATCCTCATCCTGACAATTTGAATTCACCAAAAAGAATCAGTAATGTTTCAACTTACAGTATAAAACAATGAATAGTCGGAACTGCATAGTTGTATACTGATCGACCAAAAACAAAATCTAACTTATGTACAAACTATGTCTAATGTTTATATAGTGTTATTAGTTTAACCCAGAAATGGTACGATCATCCGATATTTCTTTTGTAATCTTTCAATTTGTTACTATCTAATTAGTGACTTTTCAGCTAACAATAGAAATACCTTAATAAACATTCTTTTCATATAATGAATCTAAGAAAAAAAATTTTCTTTCTGGGTATTTACAATAAGACTGGAATGAATGAAGTTATTCAGTGAAGAGGTGTGTTATGCAAAACTTCATATACAGATATAATCATACTTTGCACTAAACAGTTTTCTTGTTTAATGATACTTACTTACTTGTTTAAGCGTGTTAGCCATCATGGAGGTGTATAAACAGTTAGCCAGCATTCTCTAGTAAACTATGTCCTAGGCAATTCTTTCTAGTTGTCTCCAGTTAATATTCATCCTTCTCATGTCTACTTTCAATAAAACTCTTTATATACATACTTACTTACTGATTGACGCCTGTTACCCCTCGTCAAGGAGTATAAGCATCTCACCAGCATTCTCCATCCAACTCTGTCCTGAGCAATCCTTTCCAGTTGTTTTCAGTTAACATACATCCTTTCATATCTACTTCTATTTCCCGGCGTAATGTGTTCTTTGGCCTTCCTTTTTTCCGCTTCCCTCCAGGATTCCAAGTTAGGGATTGCCTCGTAATGCAGTTCGGTGATTTCCTCAATGTATGTCCGATCCACTTCCAACGTCTTTTTCTAAATTCCTCTTCAGCTGGAAACTCATTTGTCCTCTCCCATAAAACGCTATGGCTGATAGTATTCGGCCAGTGAATATTGAGTATTTTGCGTAGACAATTGTTTATAAATACTTGTACCTTCTTGACGATGGATGAAGTAGATCTCCACGTTTCAGCTCCTTACAGTCTTCACGTTCGTATTGAAGATTGTGACTTCGAAGTTAGTTAAGAGTTGTTTTGAGTTCCATATGTTCCTCATTTGTGGGAATGTTGTCCTTGCTTCACCAATCCTCGCTTTTAAATCTGCATCCGATCCTCCTTGTTTATCAATGATGCTTCCCTGCTACATGAAAGACTCCATCTCTTCCAGAGTTTCTCCATCAAGTGTGATTGGGTTGGTGTTTTCCGTGTTGTATTTGAGAAGCTTGCTTTTTCCTTTGTGTATGTTGAGGCCTATTGATGCAGAGGCTGCTGCTATATTTGCTGTCTTCGTCTTTTATATACATAACACAAGTTAAAAATAAAACAAAATTGGGCTTAACTATAATTTATCGATAAATCAATAAAATATGAGATGATAAGTGTAAGGATGACCCCGTTGTGAACTAGAGGAAGCTCTAAGAAGCTCAGAAAGAACGGAAGACATTTCATCTAACTATCTTTTAGAAGAATATTCCAGAATCTTCACGTATAGCTACCCTATTGGACAAATGCTAAATACTGCTTTATGTGGATTCAATAAGTATAATAATGATTTTGCTTTTACTAAAAACTTTAAATACCTAAGAGTTTTGTACCATATTCGTCGCTGTTTGGAATAACATTTCTTCTCACTCGCCTTTTTTCTTCTCATTTGTAACTTGAAGGGTTCTAGTGTTGAAGTGCTCAAGTAGTACGCGGTATATCAAGAATCTTAGCTCTAGATATAGCAACAGGTCTTGGATTTTGGCGCGAAACTCATTTATTTATTTGACTAAATAGTATTTTAGCTGATGTCAGTTCGTGACTCAAAACGTAAATCTAGTTTCTAACCCTAACCATCAACTGTACATCATAATTCTGATTCCTCACATTGCTTTATAACCTTAATTCAGTCCAAGTTAGTAGGTGGAAATACTCAAGGTCAAACTGATGTCACTCAAAGGTCGACCATAAGTTGTCCAAACATTAAACACGTTTACTGTAACCCGTATATAAAAATGTATTTAATAGTCATATAGAGCATGTTATTTACATTTGACTGACTAATGTTATGTTTGTCAAGTCTTCATTGATGCCGATCAAATTCTATCTATCAAATTATGATGAGACTATTTAACTAGTCAACTCTGTAGGGTGGTTCAATAGTCACAAAATGAAATATCAGACATTCACCCAACTTTGCAGTCAAAGACATTACTAACGAGCTATTCTGACCGTAATCGATCTTCTCTATGAGTGGGATGTTACAACCGATTAATTACTGAATGGTGATCAGTGTCATATTTGTCGCTAATTAGAATTCCTCGAACAAGTTACAAGGTTCCAATCTAATAATAAAGCAGCTTCTCTTCACCTTGAATGGCGTGTAATGGTATGAAAATCAATAGTAAAAAGGATATATAAATGTTTATATAAATGTATAAACAAATTAAAAACGGTGATGCAGTTAAAATTCATTTAGTATTGTTTGCTTGAATCTTCCCATCGATGTGTTAGTATTGCAAATGGTCAGTCTCCAATCGGCATATGTGCATACTGTGAGTATTGCTTCGATATATCATTAATTCACAAGCATGATAAGCAAAGATGGACTCATTGGCCGAGTTGATAACGCGATGGCGTTTGAAGCGAAAGGTACTGGGTTTGAGTCCCAGAGTGAACGTCAACAGTTATGAGATACAGGACATCCATCTGACGAGTCCCAAATAGGACAAAACGCACGTCCTGGATTCCACTGCTAGTCACTATCCATCTTTGCTTATAATCAATATTGACATTTTCAAATAAACAAAGAAATATTCAATAACAATGAGCAAATTAAAAGACACTATGAAAGATATAAATTATAATTATTATTATTTACTGAAGTTGCATTTCTTCACAGATCCTCTTAGAGTGTTCAAAGGGAATACTTATAGTTAACTATGTATAAGAATATCAAATATTCTATTAAGGTGAACATGTTATTTTACAGAACGTAACTGAATAAATAATAATAATGATAATGGATTTTGTGGAGATTCGCGGGATTTGAATACAGGATCTTCGGTCTCACGTGCGGGATCGTGCGTTATACATTGATGAGAAGTCCCATACTAAAACGAAACAGCCGTCCAATGCTTCAAGGTTTTCCATGGTGGTCTGACACTATTCGACACATGAATTCAACTACTAAATAATTATATATATATATATATATATATATATATATATATATATTAGCATGTGAGGTAGTAATCTGCGTGGTATACTTATACACAGAATGGTCATACACGTACGTGTCCTTGAGCATACAGAAAGAAAACAATAGTAATCACGTTCAGTAGAGGAAACTCTCTTTCGACAACATATGAAAATAATTGATGCCACACCAAAAAAATTGATAAAAATGAACTTAATATGTAAACATATATGTATGATAACATTATATAAGATGATTAATAAATCAGAAACCAAATATATATATATATATATATATATATAGCGGAATAAGTGTTTGGCCATAAAAAGGGTTAGACTACCATCAAAAACCTGGAATCACTGGACGGCCGTCTCGTCCTACTATGGAACTCCTCTGCAGTGCGCATTCACGATCCCGCACTCGCGAGATTCGAACCCAGGACCTACCAGTCTTGGGCCAGAGCCTTTAACCGATAGACCACTGAGCCGGCATTCGATTGACTCACGCTTTCAAATATGAAAATACTAAATCTCCACAAAACTCCTTCTGATAATAAATATAGAAGAGGACTGTAAGTCTTCATGGTAACAAGAAAATACTTGAAAATGTTTACAAGAAAAACTAACCAGTAAACTGCATATAACGATATGGTTTATTTATTGCCCTATTGGACCGAGTCGTCTAAGTAGGGTTAAGAGTAACGTTACTAGTGGATGAAACTTACTTCTCCATTTTGATATTGTCATTCTTCTTATTGATTGTTGACAACATCTGACTTCGTTCTCGTTTATAGAAACAATCTTTTTTGCCATTCTTGTCCAAGATGAAATGCTTCTCTTTATGCTCTATTAAGAGACCTAGACCCTTGCAAAGGATTTTTAAATGACTGTTTAATTAATTCATTTATCAAATGATTCCTAATTTAGTCTCGTTGAGTATGTACGGATAAATGACTTTGCTATAGTTCCTAAATGGCTTATTCAAATGGTCTATTATTTTATATTTTGTTATCATTTGTAACTAGCTAGTCTGGTAAGGCAAAAGTTGAACCGTGGGAAAAGTTTGTTTGTTGTACATCTAATCTCTTTCTTATTCGTTGATCGGGATCCTAGAAGCATAAAAGAGACGTTGTTACTGAAATTCGTTATTTCAACATACGAAACTAGAGAGTATTTGCGGTGCTTGAATGAGCCAATGACTCTTTTGTATTGATAACTGTTTTGATTTTGAATTCCTAATACAGTGCATTCGTTCGTGTTCATATAATACTTCTTGATATAATTGAGTTATTGCTGGGATTACTAGTTTATACCATAAACTAGTACATAAACCTTCTGAAAGCTCTTTACTCAAACTTCACAAGTTGAGTTACAGCTTATGGCGAACTGTCATCTGATTTAACAACCTCAAGTGGTGTCCGACAAGAGTGTCCATTATCCCCATTTTTGTTTAACTTCATTATAGACCTACTGCTGGAAATAACACTCTCGTCGACTGAATTTTCAAGAATTGGTCTCCTATCAGGAGGTTCATTTACCGACTGAGAATACGCAGATAACACAGTCTTGTTTGGTTAAGATGATGATGAAATGCAGTCATTCGGTAGTACTGAGTTACAATGCCGGGATATTTGCAATGCGTTTCTCCCCCTCTAAATGTGAACTGTTACTACAGGACTGGCCTGCGTCAACATCTGAACTAAGGATGAGGAGTGAAGTGATCGAACTCGTCGACTACTTCACTTATCTTGGAAGTCTGATCAGCCCTAATGGGTTGGTGCCTGACGAAATCTCAGCACGGATTCAAAAGCTCGTTAAGCTTCTGCCAACTTACGTCACCTATGGGAAAGGCGAGATATTCGTCTATTGATTAATGGATG